ACCAGTTTCTCTTCAAAATGACTATTCCCAGTGTGTGGTTTCTTTTTGTTGTATATAGAATAGATTTTGTTTTCATTTATTATTCTTTTCACCAGACTTTCTCATTTGCTTTTCCCTTTCCCAACTAGTTCTAGACATGAGTATAATGAGAAAAAAAAAAGAAAGAAAGAAGAGTATCTAAGAACCCTTGTCAGGTCTGTAAAATAGAAAAAGGATAGGGAGACAAAGGAAACATTTCAATGTTGTCAAAGGAAGTCACCAGGAAAGGGGGGTACAAAGGAATTAGTGATGTCTTCCATAATATCAGGCACAAAACAGGGGATTAGAATACATCTGTTAGAATGGAGCAAATGATTCTAGCATGGGTATTTATCTTGCCTGGACAGTCCACTGATCAGAAAAGAAGTCTGGTATTTGTGAAGTATAGATGTGGCTGATTGCAACAGTTACTCTGACTCTTCAGTGTTTTCAGTCCTGTAATATCACAACTCCCATACATCTTGGGTGGAATGATAGGATCATTCTTCTATGAAGTGATTTGTTTTGAGCAATGGAAAGTTAACAGATTTGATTCATACGTGGGACTTTGAAAATATCAGAATTACTGCCTAACCTATCCCTGATAGGCCTTCTGACCCATGAGAACAAAAACAAATTATTACTGTTTCCAGCTATTAGGTCATGGAATATGTGTTGTCCATCAATTAATCTGAAACCATATATTTTCTGATAAACCATGCTTGATAGTAGCTTTTTCTCTTTACTTTAACATTTCCATGAGTGTAACAAGTATTTGATTTTCCAACATTTTACTAACAATATTGATGAAAATATTAGGTAAAATAAAAATAATGAGGGTAAGAATGTAGCTCAGTTGAACCCATCATTACAAAAATAACTATTTGTAGTGTTGGATGCTGATAGGCTCACTACTGCTGGTGAGAGAGGTAGAATTATCAGAAGTTCAAGGTCATCCTCAGCTACATAGTGTGTTTGGGTTCCCTTGTCTTGAAAAAAAATAAGGTCAACATATATAGATACTTACATTCTCTAATACCGTAGTCTTCCGTAGTCATTTACACAGCAATGGGAAAACATTATAAATACAAGAAAATGCTCTCGGGCTGACATGAACAAGTCATTCCTATACACAGCAAGGATTTGTTTGTGGCCTCAGTGTCTGAAGGGAAGTAATTCTGCCTAGCCAAGCACTTATTTAACCTCATCTCGGAATCAGGATCCCTAAAACTGGCATTACAATGGTACCTGTTTCATAATGTTATTGAGATTACTGAGAGTAGAGCATGAGTTGGAATATGTAACCTACCTAGAATCAAGCTTGGTATTTTAAGTTGCCATTAAATACTAGTTGTTAAGGCAAACATTAAAATCTAAGGTATAACAAACAGTAAATCAATATGGGTTGAATTCTGCATGTTGGAGTAGCCACCATAAAAGGAATATATGGAAATAAACAACTACCCTGCAAATGTACTTAGACTTTAAGATCCTCATCTGCATTATCAAGAACTTCAGAATATATGGTTGTTGGGATGCCTTCTAGTTCTGTTGGGAAGCAGTGTCTATGTCATATTGCCTAGCAGCACATATGCCCACAAAATTAAGCATTTAAAATCAAAGTAATTTTAAGTTAATCTAATGAATTAATTCACATCACTGTGTGTGTGAATTACAGAAGCAAACTTGATATGATTGTTCTCTGTCTATGATAGATTTGAAACTAAAAAATAATATTTATTCTCAGGATTTCTAAAATATATTACTCAGACCTAATATATGTATATAAACACACACACACACACACACACACACACACACACACACACACACATACACACACTGTGAATTGACAGACTGGCCTACAATACCTTAAATCCAATTAGCAACACAATACACACTGTCTCCTTTTCTTTAGTTTTAAGCAAAGTTACTGAAATCATGCTATTTGATGTTTTGTATTTCTGATTACAAGGTGCTGTCCCCTGCTGTTTGTTAAAGATTATACCAGTTAGCATCACCAACCCAGAGAGAAATAAAGAGACAATTTTATTTTACCCATATGTCTAAACATCAGAAGAAAATAAAATGTGGAAATCTGTGTATCTATAGAAGAAAACCACTGTGGTAGCATCATGCCCTCTCTTCCCAAGTCATCACACTGCACTGACCTTTATTTCTAGATAGGATTTTGATAAGCTGTACTGATGATGGGAAGCATGGGGATGTGACGAGTTACTTACTAGGCAATTATTTCTTCTAAAAGAGGGATTATGGAGAAGCTTACTTAAACACATCCATCTATTGGCCATAATTGATAGTTCTGCAGCATAACTATCTACACTTGTGTGTCTTAGCAACTGAATCTCCATGTGTGCTTTTATGATATTTCCCTTGTTGACTCCTTATTTCAGTTCACTTTAACTAAGGCCACCTTGCAGCAAATACAGCAGTATACAGCAGTGCCATTTCGATACAGTGCTACAAACTCACCTCTGGAGATCCATCATGATAACAGCCTGTGTGCTCATGACAGTATTCTATATGACAAGCTGTTCTCCATGTTACCAAAACTAGTCATTCATGTGGAATTAGAAGAACTGAAATCAACTGGATCTGAGTTCAAGATTTGGCTGTCATTTACCAAGAATATCACTTGTCATTTCAGTTTGTGTAGCAGGAATCTTAGAAGGTCTTATTAATAAAAACAAACCTGGAGCCAGGTATTGGGGTGAATGCTGGAAGATCAGAGAAACAGAACAAGCCACAGCTTCCTCACCTCACCAATTCCTCAGGTGATCTTGTTTCCTCAGACTGGATGCCTCTCAGCTGAACTGTGCTGCTCAACACCTAAAAGCTTAACCAACCAAAAGCTTCTAGTTTCTGGTCTTCATGCCTTATATACCTTTCTGCCATCACTCCCTGGGATTAAAGGCTTGCTTTCTGGGATTAAAGGCGTGAGTCACCATGCTTGGCTGTATCCTTGAACACACGGAGATCAAGATGGATTTCTGCTTCTGGAATGCTAGGATTAAAGGCGTGAGTGCCACCACTTTCTAGCCTCTGTATCTAGCGGCTGTTCTGTTCACTGACACCAGATAGTATATTAGGGTGCACAATATTTTGGGGAACACAATACCACCACAAGTTTGTCTTCAAAATGTTTCAGGATCCTGTTTGAATAGTAAATAGCATGATGTATAAAAGAGGCTGCAAACTACTATACATATATATGATATATGTATATTATATTATATATTCAATTAGTAACTGATTTTGAATGAAAATATGAATGCCAAGTAATCAATTCATTGTCTTATAGAGCAAACCAGCAACTGTGGTACTGTAGCCTGCAATGAGAAGCTAAGCAGAAGTGGGAAATCTTTCCAGTTCCTGCTTCCCTACTTAGCTTTCTTCCTTTTGCTTTATTTGAGAGATTGCTTTGCTCTGAAGGCTGTTAAAGATGTGTAGTAGACATCTAATATACTCCTCTTTGACTAAACAAATATGGGCTACTAGTGTTTGTGAACCAGGCTGTGCAACATCCACTTAAATATAACAGCATTAGCTCCTCCACAAATTCACATTATATACAAGTTGCAACTACATAAAAGCTCTTAAAAATACTGAGAAGCCATAAGAAATTGTAGCTGAATGTGAGAAAGGGTATTTTCCTTTGCAGGTCATGACCTCTGAAATACATATTACAGCTTCTTAATCTTCAAAGAAATGTATAGATATAAAGATGTAAACTTTTGAAGTCCAAAGAAGTAAAGACATAGTACATTGCATATAGTATATAATATATAAATATTAGTGCAACAAAGAATGGGAAAAGAACATTTGGCATGAACTTGGATAAACCTCTGATGTTCCCAGAGTAGCACAAAAGTTCTCTCCTTGTCTTGTTGTCCTGTTATACTTTTCTTTGTCATGATCACCCTGTATTTAAGTGTGTTTTGAACCCAAGAGTGTATTCTGAGGGCTAGAAAATAAGTAAAATTCAGTCCAAAGATCTTTACTGGGAGAAGGTGAAACAGAAATCTTTATTTATCTTCATCCTCTACAAGCATGATCTTTAATAACCATATCTAATTTCATTAGATTCATATCTCCAATAACATGTTTGAGAGACATAAAATAAGTGACCATAACTCATGGAAAGAGCTTTGTGATCATTATATAGTAGAGAAGAACGGCAAAATAGATATCTATTCATATCATTGTTCTATGGTCTGGGTCCCTGCTTCTCAGGAAAGGCAGCGGAGTTGAAATGTGCCAAACGCTCCTCTAACGCAAGTTGATGGAAAAGCCCACAACCAAGAGCAAGGGATGCTGGAATTGAGTTGTCAAGCTGTCCTGAATGTCTTGTACAAACTGAACAGGCCAATTTACTGCAACACTGCATAGGCTGAAGGCTCCTATCTCTGCTTTACACTTGTTTCCTCCTGAAGAGATTACCCTGCCCTCCCATGCTGTCCCTTTCTAGTAGCTGCTGAGCTACCCCGATTCCTCCCGATGAACCAGCTCTTGGTAGGAAGGGAGCCTTAATCCCCACCTTGGGACCAGCCTGCTGGACTTCCCAGAGAGGCTCTTACCATCCAATCTGAAATCAAAAGCTTTGTGTTTCTTGATAATTTTGAATCCAGTGGTGATTTGATTTCAATGTCTTCTCCTTCGTACTTCAAAACTCTTGGTTTTCGGGATGAAAACAGACAAGATTTAAAAAATAAAAATAAAAACGACAATTCCCACGCAGCCTGAATTTCTTTCTTGATTACTGGCCTCGGACGGCGAGGGGCTGCTTTAAAACGGCGTTCTTCCGACTCTTCCCTCCAGGTGGCAGCAGTGCCACACCTCAGAGTCTCCAATCCCCTCTTCCCTGACTTCAAGTGTTAATGCAATTGACCAATCACTGCTAAGATGATGGGAGGTAATTGGGTAATTGTATTTTACTGATCTCTAGCGGAGAAAGGGAAAGGGAAAGGGGCAAGAAAGAGGGCCAGAGAAGGGGAAGGGACCGCAGTCCGGGTACGCTTTGGGGAGCCTGGACCCTAAGTAAGAGGACCGGGCATTGGTGGAGAGAAAGTCTAGACTGGCAGACGCTGCCGATCGCTCAGGGAGCGCATTCTTTATCTGGGAAGAGAGCAGAGAGAGGAGAGGGAGAAGGCAGAGTTCACGCCGAAGTGGATGGAAGGGGATCTGAGTTTCCGCGGCACAGTGAGTCGCGAGCCGGGACTATGGCACTGAGACCGGCGCGGAGCAGCTGCGCGCCCGAGGACGCGTCTCCTCGCGGGGGACCAGCGGGCGTCGGGAAAGGCTGCGCACAGAGGAACCAACTTGTGGCTCCAGACCATCCCCAACGCAGCTGGAAATGAGATCAAAGCTGCAGTTTCATTCCAGAAGGATGAGAGGAGCCAGTGATTAGGGATTTTTTTTTAACCCCCTTCGTTCCCGTTTCGCTGTTTTCTCCTCCCCCTCCTCTTTTTTTTTTTTTTTCAGTATACGTATTTTTTCTTTTTTTCTTTTTTAATTGACCTAACACCACGTCAGTCCCGTCACATTGCTTTCCCTGTTTGAAATAAAAGCCCAGTCTGAACTTCCACCACCCCGGAGACTCGAGAGCTGCAGCCGGCTGATGGAGAAGGGGACACCCGTGCTGGCAGGGGACGCTGGCGAGGGACCGCATCACGCGTCTCTCTGGTGATCCCTGCCTTGATCGCCGAGTTCAGCGATACCTGGAGGACCTGGACCCAGTGCTGTGGGTGGGGGAGGGGACCCAGCGAAAGCCACCCTGAGCCTTAAAAAAAAAAAAAAAAAGTAGCTGCTGACCGGGGGCGGAAAGGGGTTTGTTCTTGACAGCTGACGGAGCCTTGAAATTTTCCTCCTCTACCTCCGCCCCCTCCCCCGCCCCCGCCCCCCGCACTCCATTTAACGTGAGATTATGAAATCGCAGAGGCGGTGGAGGGAAGGCGAAGGCATCTAACAGGGAGTTTGGAGGGGCGAGGGGGAAGGTGGCTGGCTGGGTGGCTGAAATCAAAAATCCAATTGCGCACTGGGTTGTGATGAGAAATCTAATCAGATCTTTGACGAAGGGGCCGGCCGGAAGGGTAGCCGGTGGGGGCAGCTGATCCCCAAATTCTCCGAAGGGGAAGCTGGGGAAGGGAATCGAGGATGTAAAGAAAAGACTTTCTTGTTCCTTTTTTCTTTCTTTTCTTTTTTCTTTTTCTTTTTCTTTTTTTACTCCCCGGAGGAGGTGGCTGTTGGGTGCCTTGCTAAAATGAAGGATGCGGGACGCAGCTCTCTCTTGGAGCAGAAGGCAGAGGATAAACTGATTGTGCCAGAGAGAAGAAAGAATGAAGCTTTTTCTTGTGAGACCTGGATCGTAACATAAATGTGTATATGGCCACACGGGGAGCATTGAGGGGAAAAAAATGAAATAAGCTGATGTCAGACCTGCGGGGTTTGGTGTGTTCTGACATAAAAAAATAATCATAAAATAGCTGTCCCCCTCCCCCAAGGATGTTTGGAAATGGAGAACTGGGGATCCACAAAGAAAAAGTGTTCATTTTTTTTTCTTTAAAGGAGAAAGTACGCCAAGGAGATATTTTTGAAATGAAAAGTTTGCGGCTTATTTTAGGAAAGTAAGGACCTGATATATATATATTTTTTTTCTGTTTGAATTTCCCACAAGAGGAGAGGAAATTAATAATACATCTGCAAAGAAATTTCACTGAAGAAAAGTTGACGTGGAGGAACGAAGCATTGATTGGGAAAGAAATCAGCAGAGGACTCTTGGATTGCTGCCCGTGTTGACTAAAATTGAAGGATAATTGCAGTTGGATTTTTTTTTTCTTCACCAACCTCCTTTTTGTTTTCTTTTTCTTTTCCTTTTTGGTGTCAAGACCATGCATTCTTTCTTGTTCTTAACCACCTGGATTTCCCTCGGGATGTAGCTGTGCTGAGTCTGAAATACAGTGAGTGATCAAAATTTTCTTATTTATTGGTGAAGAAAATGTTCATTAATTTAGTGTTCTGATTCTCTCCCCTCTCCCTCCCCCTTTCCTGTGGTTTTCAAGGACCCGGCTATTGGGAACAAGAAAATGAGGAACAGGGTGGCCCACGCAGTTGTTCCCTCAAGCTGTGCTCACTGATAAGCTGGACGGCTATAATGATGCAGGTTGGCTGCATTCTAGGCAAATGCCTTTGCAAATGTTCGGTATGGAGAAAAAAAAAAATCTCTCCATGAAAGCCCACTGCAGTGTGGGGTGCTGATGCAAGTGATTGACACTCTGGAATGCATTTAAGTTACAAGGAAGCCCCAGAGTTAGAAGCACAAATGTTGGTTATTGGAAATCGAAGGGACCCAATTGAAATTTCATTATCCAGCCTGACACTGCAGATGAACAGAATGTATTAACACAAAACTATGATACTAAAGAAGGTGAAGGATGGCTTCTGGCTAGCCCAGAGGAGGGCAGTGAGGGAGGGAATGGCAGAGCAGAGGAAGTGGGAGAGCACATTCTGCTCTTTCCACAGGCTCCCGCACTCCCTTATCCAAATGTGGTCCTTGCACCCCTGGGGTCTTCAGTGGTGGAGCTATGATGGAAACAAGAAGGACCACTTCATTCCACCCCTCATAACTTAAGAACTCCTTCGATACCAGAGAACCTGCATACAGATTGTAGAGGACATGGGTGTTTGGTATGGGCTTTACCAAGAACCCTCCAGACACCACTGAGAAACAGCTCTTGAGAAAACGGCAGAAATTTAGCATCCTTTGGTAACTTAGAAAAGAAGACCAAAGGAAACATTTGTGAGGGGAGCGCCAAAGCTTATCCCGGGCCAGCTTTGCTTTGAAGGAAAGAAGGCAATGAAAACAAAAAATAAGTAAATAATAAATAAATAGAAGAGAATGGTGCGAGAGATTTGAGAGACTGAGGCCTAAGGGATCACCTCATCCTTTCCCCACTTCTGGCAGAATCTCAGAGCTGGCCTGTTGTACAGAATGGTCCCACCCCCGCCCCTGACACTCTTCCGTGTTCTTCCCTGAAGCCTTCTATTAGAATCATGAACTCATGTAACTTTAGAGCCAGGTCAGATATTACATGCCAACAAAAGAGGAAACTGAGGCTGAGAGAAGCCATAATTATTTGGTTAATGACCAAACAGCCTGAGACAGGTGACTCACATAAGCCTCAGAGAAGCAGACAAGTTTTGAATCCAAACTAGGAGAGAATCTGGCACACATAGAGTGATCACAGCTGCCATTTTTATTCAGAGATGAAAGAAAGGCACAGTGGTCTAGAGAAGGTGAAGTAAACTTCTGCCAGTGTAAATATTAAGAGTCATAGGTATCAACATCCCTCCCCTCCCTTCCCCTCCCCTCCCTTTCTCTCCCCTCTCTTCTCCCCACCCCTCCCCTCCCCTCCCCTCCCTTCTCCCCTGCTCTCACCCTCACTCTTTCTGTTGCATGGTTCACAAAACTCTGGCTTTAAAATATTTGAAATCCCAGAAGACCCACAAGTCTGAAATATCCCAAAGGAGATGGAAGGCAGCTGCCTCCTGGGTACCCTGTGAGTGCTGGGCACGTTTACTGCTATGAGTAGTGGACTCTAGAGAGTCATTAAGGAACTGTGGAGTTGGATTTATGTTAGAGAGGTGATAATAGAAACCAGAAACACCCTGCTAATAGCATCCAAGTCTGTTCATTTGCTGCCATCATCTGCTCCTCTCCTCTCTTTTACTCCTGAACTGAGGTAGCATACCACTGAGCACTTCCCTAATTTATTTTTCTGGGCACATGTTTTCTGTTGGGACACACAGACACTGTAGGAATTTACCAACCTATGAAAGTGCAAGACTTTTTTTCTTCCAGATCTCTATACAGACTTCTGCATATTTTACCATTCCCTCCCTCCCTCCCTTCCCCTTCCCTCCCTCCCTCTCTCTTCTCTCTCTCTCTCTCTCTCTCTCTCTCTGTCTCGTGTGTGTGTGTGTGTGTGTGTGTGTGTGTGTGTGTGTGTGTGTGTGTGTGTGTGTGTGTGTGTTGGGGGTCTGCTATGCTTTATATGGTCACTGTTGTTGAGTCACCATTGTTGGTCATGTAATGACTCAAGTCCTCAAGTCATACAAAGTTGTCGAGCAATTGCAACTTAGTACAACTGATATAGAAGTAGAGAAGAAAATGTGTATTTTTTTTTAACTTGTAGTTCAACTTCAGACTTTATCTGGAAAACCTGCTTTGCAAGTATGTCGTGTCTGCCAATAGAGAGGCTTGGGTTTACTCATTTTAGTTTTACATAAAATTTTTCTCAGTACCAAACACTACCCTGGATTAGACCGAAAATTGCATTTTTCTCCTTAACATTGTCATAGCTTTTCCATCCCCCTCCTTTCTTACACAAGCAGGTAATTGTTTTCAAGGGGAGGAAAGGAAGGTAAGAAAAAGAAAGAATCTAAAATCTGTGCAGAAATGTAGCTCCCTCAACCCTCACCGATAAGGCATCTAAAGGAGTCCCTCTAAGGTGAATTGCTTTGCCTGCATTACTTTTGGGTGCCCAGGCTGAGCTTGGGGGTCAGTCCCTCTAGACTGGAATCAGTTAGCTCTGCAGTTTGTGCAAGTTGTTCATGGGCTAGGAAAGAAATTCTGGACGTGGTGGAGCTGGTATCACACCTAATACTTGGTTTCAGCTGAAGTTGGCCACTCAGTGGTATTTGTTAGTAGTAGGTACACATAGCAATCTGCTGAAGACCACAGACCCAGAAAACTGAAGCTTTGAACTAGTTTTAAAGATATTTCAAATTTCTTCCTCCTGGAACTTAACAGCTGTACCCTTTTGGCAACATTTTAAATGTCCCCATTCCTCATTTTTTTTCTTTTGCTTATGGGTTTGGAATCAACATGTAATTTGTTGGTAAATTAGATGTTGTTTTGTAAATTACAAGTGATGTGCAGCAAGGGCTCCACACAACAGGCTTTCTCTCAGGCTGTCTGTCTGTCACAGTCATTCTTGAGGTAATTAATGTGTATCCGCTTCCTGAGGATGAATGAATTCTGTACTTTTAGGGTCTGCTGGTGAGACTCATGAAGAGTGAGACTGAGCTTATATTCCTTGTTAGCCTTTCCTTCCAAGGTCTTACAAGAACAGATTGTCTGAAATAATATATATATTGCTGTTTAGAACAAAATCTGAGCAAGAAATACTTAAATAATAAATAGGCACAATGAAAGACTGCTGTAACTGTGTCTACCATGCTGTGCACTTTTAAAGTTGGAATGTAAGTGTCCTATGCTATCGTCTTGGTCGGGAATGCATAAGTAAAGACAAATGTGTTTGCAAATGCATCATTTAAATTAGATAGTGCATCATTCCATTACAGTTATTAAGGACCCAAGTTCCACTATCTGTACTTATGGTCTTCCTATTCTTAACAAGTCTAACTCTAACTGCATAATTTATTTGCTTTGTTAAAAACAGAAGGCTTAATCTGTGGATGAGAACAGATGAAGCAGCAAACATATTTAAGTCTTAATATTAGAATATGAAGTAAAACACAAATTTGCCAATGGTCTAAGCAGTGGGTCTTGATCATGGTTTGTAATTTCCTTGTCTCCCACAGTAGTTCTGTGCTCTGTCTATTTCCTTGGTGAACTTTCTAAGAACTTTCCTCCCCTTAACAATAATAAAAAAAAAAAAAGGATCCTATGCCTTAGTTACCACGGTTGTTGACATTTTCATCATATATGCGTATTGTGTGTACTAATTGTCTCAGCTTGGTGTATAGCTCATTGGATTTTGATTACTAACTTTTCAAAAAAAATGAAAATCTGGACAGTTTGGAAAGACCTCCTAAGATTCAGCATTTTCACTTCTCATTTGAAAATCTAATGTGGAAATGTTCACTATTTGGTGTATTTTACTTTTTTTGTGTGTGTGTTTTCTAAAAATGACAAAGACATAAGGTAGAACTTGGATACCTATTTTCAAAGTGAACTCAAACAGCATCACTGGACCACATGAATTACGGGTACTGCTTAAACTATTTCAACCGATTTGTTTATCTGTAAATCAGAGGTAAGATCACCACATGAAACTGGCTACCAGGAAGGTTGATCAGGTTTCCTTTGTTGTGTACTGCAAGCATTCAATAATTCCACATTTAAATAGAACATCTCTGGTCTATGTTCAGAGAGGATGTGGTTTACAAAGAAAAATAGAACAGGTTTTTTGTTTGTTTGTTTGTTTGTTTTGAGAGAAAGATCTTCATTACAATTCCTGTTTGCAATACAGACAGAATTAAATTTGTATCAAGGTGCTGGTTATGTCATCTTGCCACAAACTAATAACCTGCGACCTAGGATCCTCAGTTGAGGAATTGCCTGACCAGACAGGTCTGTGACTATGTCTGCCAGGTATTCTCTTGATTTGTGGTTGATGTAGAAGAGCACCGTCTACTGTGGGAGGTACCATCCTTGAAACATAGTCAGGGGTTGTATAAGAAAGTCAGCTGAGCCGTAGAAACCAAACTAGGAAGTAGCATTCCTCCATGGTCTCTGCTTCAGTTCGTTCCTATAGGTGGCCTTAATTCTGTAACAACTTCCCTGGATGGTGGACTATAACCTGTAAACTAAAATAACCCTGTTCCTCTCCAAGTTGTTTTTGGTCATGCTGTTTATTACAGTGACAGAAAGTAAACTAGCACAATTACCCACCAGTCATACAACTTTAAAACACACTTGGAGGTATCTCAGTGAAACCCTCAGTCATCAAAAATTGTGTATATACTTGGTGAATTGTGGATAATATACCCTGTGTCCATGAATACTTTAGCTGGATTTTCAAGAGCTTTATATCAGAGATACCAAAAGTTAATTGGTAAGCAATATCTTAGAAGACTCTCTAGGGAGGGATCGAGATACCATATCTTTGTTTTATTCAAAATTATTTCACTCAATAACCATTAACTTGACAGA